AAAAGGATAAATGCTCACGCGGAGCCATTCGTTAATTCATTCGCCAACCATTTTCCTTGTTCCTCCAACATTCAAAAAACATTTGCAAGTGAAAACCCCTCCATTGTTCTTGCCATTCGTTCATTCATTTCATTTCCCCCACTAGCCAATTCTCTGGCCAGTCTCCACCAATCTTCGTGGTCATACTCGAGTATACCAAACATTATTCCAGGGTCACCAATCGCTCGATCGAGTCCGCTTCTGGCTCAAGTCGATTGGCAACGAAGGGCAAGGGCCCAGTTCAGCCAAAAGGCTTACATTCATGCACAAGTAGCATTTAATCATTTAATCACTGAAAATTTCACATTCATTTAGGTCGAGTGCGATAAAGTACACACTCGCCTAGCAAAATTCATTTTTAGCAATAATTGAAAACATTTAACATATAATCAAACATTCACAACAATCCACAATGTCATTGGAAACATAACGTACAAAAAACACTCACCCGTTTAAACAAAGTAACGTCTAAATTTCCTTCCGGATAATACCCTCAATTACCGACAAACCCTAAGAATAGCCAAGAGAAAATATTACGGTTCAACCATCTAAAGTTTAGGTGAATCAAAGAAAATTCGAATAACTACTAGTACAATGTATAAAGATGATTTTTGGAGTGAAAATAGTACATTTAGACCAAAGGACATGAGTAAAATATTTGTAAAACTCATGCTCGATTTTAAAACTTCGAAATCTCCATTTGAGTCGAAGTGACGAAGAAAACGTATTTCTATTAGTCGTTACTTTCATTTTTCCAAGGGTACAAGTTTCGGCTGAATTCTAGCTTATATACCTCTACAAAAGAGGACTCGAATAACCTAGACAATTTGTGAGGACTCGTAAATTTTCTTTTTTTCATAATATTTTATTTTATTTTCTCGCATGCATTTTCTTCATTATACCCTATTACATTGATTTTCTAGAGATTTTTATAAGTGAGTATAGATTTTAAATCATTTACATAGTATAAGTTATTTCATGAAAAGTTTGAAGTGCGTTGTAGACATGGGACCCGCTAGTGCGATAAGTTTTAGCGATTAATTGGAATTTTATATTAAGTGATATTATTTTACAAGGTACTAGGAGATGATTAGAGGTTAGTTATCTAGGTTAAACTTGGTAGACAAAGGGATAAGAATAAACTTAAGAAAGGCTAAGTGCCATGAAACCATTGGATGAAAATTTTGACCAAATTTCTTTACCTTTACTAAATATCAAATCTTGACCAAAATCATCTTCATTTTTCTTGTGCCTTGACCAACTTTTGGAGAGGAGAAAAGAGAGGAAATACTTCATCTTGTACTTCAATCCCTTGCTTCAATCTTGATTTCCAACCATTGAAATTGTAGATTACTCCATCAAAGTTGCTTACAAAGGAGGATTAAAGCTTCTAGTGGAGGGATTTGTGAAAGGAAAACCCTAAGTTATCATCTTTCTTGAGGTGTCAAGGTACTTTGCTTACAAACTTCCTCTTTGTTCATACTAATGTCAAATTAGTGGTTTTTGGTGGCTAAATATGCTATTTTATGGAAGATTTTATGGTTTGAGGTAGAGTTAGCTAAATTTCAGATTTATTGGTGAATTTTCTGCCCTCATATGATAATTATTGGTTGGCCATGGAATGATGGCTTGATATGGTGTAAAATGAAGCTTTTATATGTTAGTTGTGGTTGTTTGCGAAAAATTTCAGTTTGTTCGGAAAATTTCAGCTAGAATGCATGAATTCCAGTTTTTCGATTTTGTATTACCCTGTTCTGACCATGATCAGTCGACCATGATGGAGGCCGAATCAGCCTTAGGTTAAAACATGAAAGTTGTTGGTAATTGAGCTAGCTAGCCACTGGTAAAATTTCAACTCAATCGGAGCACTGTATCTTGTGAAATGATAGAAATACCCTTGACTGCTCACAAGCCTTGTTTCACGGATAGTTTTCTGTCCTCATTGAAATTTTGATTTTTGACCATGAAAATGCATGATTTGGCTTTGGAGGTCTTTATAAGAAATGTAGGTATATGTGTTGGCTTCGAAACACCAAAGATTTGTTTCATTCCGATAAGTCTAGCTTCAGTTGTGGTTATTGTGCCGAAAGGTGTGTTTTATAGTCTATGATTTGTATATGGTTGATTTGTGATGAATTGGTGTTAATTGTAGGATGGAAAAGTAAGGAAATGAAGGGAATATGATGTCCAAATTTTGTGAACGTTGGATTTCTTCGAGCTTGGTTTGATTTGGGGTATATAGGAAGGGCTTTTGAGTCATTCGAGCCCTAGGTGTTCATGTTACCTTTTCGTTCCAAAAATCATGTTTTGCACCTTGCATTCGTAATTATTTAAAGAGGCATACGACTTGTAGTCGAGCCTCATTGGTGCATTTCGTTTACTGGATTTGTGGCTGTGGGAACCATAATTGTTTACCTTAGTTATTCTAGGGTTTCTTGGTGATTAGAGCCTACTTTGGTTGAAAATTTTTGGAGTATCCTTGCTTAAACTGGTGAGTATACTACTCCCCTGAATTATTGCTAAGCTGGTTATTTGTACTCGCAACTTGCTACTTGAATGCCTGTACCGATTGTTTATTTTGTACGAGACGAGTGTGTACTTTATCACACTTATTTTCGGACCTATGTGACTTGTTTCTTGTATCTACTTGAATTTGTTACTGGTGCCTGATATGATGTCGTTTGGAAGTGTATCCAACGACCTTCCTGTTAATCTGAGATCAACCTCATGGGGAGTCAATTGGATCGAGCAAGCAAGGGCTTGGTCGGGAAAATTTGACAATCCATGGGCGTCTGTTCCTGGAAAATCTTTGGGTATTGGAGACTCTAGATTTCCGGTATACTCGAGTATTACCATTCCTGTTCCTGTTTGGCATTCGGGCCCGATAAGGGGTATGTTTAGTGAACGGAATTTTGGCGTAAGAGGGGTCTACGGATATGAGTGTTTCATTAAACGTTGACGGAGGGTCAACGAGGCTGGATCAAGTATTGCAACGGGGATTTGGCTCCTGAGAGTCACCTGTATCCTTTAAATTGTGGTGTTCATTCATTTCTCTTACTTGATGTGTATATGTGCCCTAAAAGTGTTTTCTCATGATTTATACTGTTATACTTTTGGAACCTCATTGAGCTTCTAACTCACCCCGTTCCGTTATCCTTGTTTTCCTTACAGGGAACAATCTTTTGGAACTTCGATGTTTTGAAAAATGAGTTGAGCTAGTTAGAAATTCTTTTGTTCTTTTGGCATACCTTCTCGACAATTTGGAAACCCTAAATGTATCTTAATACAATATTTCCTTCTGGGTTTGTAAACTTACTTACTAATATGTATCTTTTAAAGTGTTTCCTCATGGTTATGTGGCATATGTATTTGGGAATGTATATTTTCTCATGTTAGACAAAGTTTAATTGTTTTTGGTTGGAGTTTGGACGAGTGCAAAGGTTGATCGAGGAAAGCAGAAATTTTGGGAGGCTACTGTTCACAGAATCCGGCCGAGTATCTGGCCAGTTCTTGGCCGGATATCTGGCCGGATATGCAGGGGAAATTTCAAATTTTTGGGTCAAGCTACTACCTCCAATCCGACCAGAAACTGGCCGGATTGTGACGTGGCAGTCACTGTTCATCCGCAGTTTGTTTTCGTTCTTCGTTTCATTTTTTTTTGTTTATCGGTCGTTGTAGCCCTCGAGCACTGTATTATCTCTCGGAACAAGTATTTCAGGGTGTGATTAGCTTAGTAGTCCTGGCAGAACTGCCATTTCGTTTTGTTTTTCGTGGGAATGTTGTACCAAAGATTGATTGTATCTTTTAGTTCGGCTCAATTAGGTTCTGAATGTTTATCTTCTCGAAGTTCCTTTGAGCGTTTGGTAGGGTTTCCATTTGTTCCAGATCTGTAGACCCGGTGATAGCTGGGCAGGCGGTCCGCCGAACCCTTTGGTTCGTCTTAGGGTGAGGTGGGGCTGTCACAGGTGGTATCAGAGCTGCTTCGCGTGGTCTCTGCACGGAGTCAGCTTGGGACCAAGTGATGTTGTGGTCTCGCTCATGTGAATGAGTGTAAGGGACTAAGTACTCTTTTGAGCATAAGCTATGAATCACAGTGTATTATAGGTTTCAAAACATTATTCTGGTACTTGGAGACTATAGATACGTATGTCAGGTAGGAATTACAAATGTAGATGATTTACTCTTGGGACTGGCCAACTCGAGTGGTGAATTATCTTATTTTGGATTCTTGTACTCGAATACGAAAAGGGATGAAAGCCTAGGTTAGAAATGACTTGGCGAATTAGAAATCTGATTCTGCGGAACTTTATATGATGTGTGGATGATTAACCCTGTCTAAGAGATAAATTGTGATTCTTGTAGATTACGGATGGAACCCTAGGGGGGGGGGAGCTTTTCGTTAGTTGTTTTTGTACTCTTGGTCTAGTTCGTGGTGTGTACTATTGAATGACCTCTTACTTCCACAGGATTTCCTTTACTTGTATCTGACTGACTGTTATTGTGTGATTTGTTTGATATAGTCGTGTTATCTGTATATTTGCTTTTGAATTGATGCGGACGTATTATATATTTCTGATTGACTGACCTCGCTAGTTTGTATATTGTATTCGCGTCTCGAGTCTAGATTAGTTAATCCAATGGAAGGAACTTGTAGTGGACGAGGCCGGGGCCGTGGACGTAGGCAACCCTCGAATGAAAGGGGAAATTGGGAACCAATGCCTGAACCCAATCCTACACCTGGAGTGGATCCTAACGTTCAGGTAGCTGCGGCTATCCAGCGCATGACTGATCTTTTATCTCACGTAGTAGAGCATCAAGGCCAAAACCCTATTTCTCAACCTGAAAACCCTGGTAACCATATAGAGGGGGAGGATAGGGCCCTCGAACGATTTTAGAAATTCTCCCCACCGAAATTCCTTGGAGGACCAGACCCTGATGTGGCCGAGTGGTGGTTAGAGAAGATGATTGATATTTTTGCGGCATTGCACTATACTGAGGAAAGACAAGTCACATTTGCTGTCTTCCAACTGAAGGGAGTAGCCCGTTCTTGGTGGAATGTAATAAGGTTGAAATGGGAGAGAGAACAAACACCGAGAACTTGGGTGAATTTTATGAGAGAGTTTAACGCAAAGTACTTCCAACCTCTAATTCAAGAAAAGAAAGAAGATGAGTTCATTAGACTTCGCCAGAGAGCTCAGACTGTTGCCGAATATGAGAGCCAGTTCACTAGGTTTTCTAAGTTCGCCCCCGAGCTAATTGTGACTGAGCAAAGGAGGATAAGGTGTTTTGTCCAGGGCTTAAATATTGAGATTCAGAAGGATCTAGCTGTAGCCCAACTGAATGCCTTCAGTGACGCGGTGGAAAAGGCTCAACGAGTTGAAAGCGCAAGGCTACAAGTTAGAACCTTTCAGACGAGGAAAAGAGCTATTCCTGGAAGTAGCATGGGACAAGAGGATACGAGTACATCTCCCAAGCTCGGAAAGAGAACTGGAGGGTTAAGATTTCCTGGAATGTCAAGTGATGCTTCACAGAGAGGCTCGGGCTCTGCTTCCCATGGTCCCTGCGGGTACAGTGGAAAGCCGAATCACACGGAGGATGTCTGCTGGAAGAAAGGAAGAAAATATCTACGTTGCGGGAGTGCAGATCATCAAATTGCTAATTGCCCAGGCCGATCGCGAGAAGGGAGTGGGAATTGACAATCAACCAAGACCAACTCTAACCAGTCGAAGGGGGAAGGGACTGGACCGAAGGTGTCGGCTCGGGTGTACTCCCTACAGTCACATCAAACCCCTGACCCATCTGAGGACGTAAAAAGTACGATCTGCCATTTACGTTAGATTTTATAGATCCCAGTGGTAAGAAAATTTTGAGGATGAAATTTCTTTAAGGGGAAGAGAATGCGAGGACCCGTAAATTTTCTTTATTTCATAATATTTTATTTTATTTTCTCGCATGCATTTTTTTCATTATACCCTATTATATTGATTTTTTAGAGATTTTTATAAGTGAGTATAGGTTTTAAATCATTTTCATAGTGTAAGTTATTTCATGATAAGTTTGAAGTGCGTTGTAGACGTTGGACCCGCTAGTGCGCTAAGTGCAATAAGTTTTAGCGATTAATTGAAATTTTGTATTAAGTGATATTATTTTACAAGGTACTAGGGGATGATTAGAGGTTAGTTATCTAGATTAATCTTGGTAGACAAAGGGATATGAATAAACTTAAGAAAGGCCAAGTGTCATGAAACCATTGGATGGAAATTTCGACCAAATTTCTTTACCTTTACTAAATATCCAATCTTGACCAAAATCATCTTCATTTTTCTTGTGCCTTGGCCAACTTTTGGAGAGGAGAAAAGAGAGGAAATACTTCATCTTGTACTTCAATCCCTTGCTTCAATCTTGATTTCCAACCATTGAAATTGTAGATTACTCCATCAAAGTTGCTTACTAAGGAGGATTAAAGCTTCTAGTGGAGGGATTTGTGAAAGGAAAGCCCTAAGTTATCATCTTTCTTGAGGTGTCAAGGTACTTTGCTTACAAACTTCCTCTTTGTTCATGCTAATGTCAAATTAGTTGTTTTTAGTGGCTAAATATGCTATTTTATGGAAGATTTTATGGTTTGAGGTAGAGTTAGCTAAATTTCAGATTTATTGGTGAATTTTCTGCCCTCATATGATAATTATTGGTTGGACATGGAATGATGGCTTGATATGGTGTAAAATGAAGTTTTTATATGTTAGTTGTGTGAGGACTCACAAATTTATCTATTTTAAAACTCCTATTATTAGTTTATTTCAATATTTAATTGCCCGTTTATCTCGAATATTTCATTTCAATCTTTTTAGACCCAATTACCTGGAGCTATGGCTCACGTGTATTTTTAAAATGACTTGTTTCAAAATTTAAATTTTTGAAAGCCGTTAAGTGAGAATAGTGAATACGCGATTGGAGTCAATAATCGATTCGAGAATACAATAAGCTTAAAAAATTGGAGACTTGTACATTAGCCTTTGAAGTAGGTATTTTTATGTTTAAGTGTTCAATTATTAGTTAGTGATATTATCATTATAAGAATTTCTTGAAAATTTCACTTTATCGCGTACAAATCGGAAGTACGCGTTTTTACGCGCGCGATTAATTGAGGGACTTTAGAACTTTGTTTTTAGACCATTAAGAGTGAATAATAATAGTGATAAGGGAAGTACATTAGAGGTTTAGTGCACAAGTGAAACAAATCCGAGAAGAAATGGGCACGAAACGCGCGCGTACGCGCACTATTGAGAGTTGACTTTTGTGCCACATTAATGCCACAACTACCAAGCTTGCCCAAGAAGCTTTACCATCAGCAAACCCTCATCTCTCTCATCTCTTACCTCTCATTTTCGTCCAGCCACCAAGAAGGAACAAAGGGAAGGAAAAACTTCATCTTCTAGCTTCCATTTCACTCCCAAAACCTTCACAAATCATCGCACAACTTCCACTTCACTTGGAGAGCAATTTCAGCTGAGGGAAAGGCATCATCTTGCTGGTTTTTCTTGGGTCTTGGAGGTGCAAAAATTTCTGGTTTCATCTCAAAAACTAGGAGATAATCATCTAATCTTCTAGTCTTGGTTTTAGTGGATGGATCTTTGATATGAAGCGTGTAGCTTCATGTGGGTATTGTTATTTGGATGAAAAATGTTGGAGTGGGCTCTATGAAATCCCACAATGGATATATTGGACTGATTTGGTGATTATAAGTGGTGTTTGTGTTAATTAAGTGGTAAACAAGGTGAGATTAGTTGGAAAATTGAAAGGAAAGTTGAGGAAAATTTCGATTGCTAGCTGTCCAGTTCTGTCCTATTTTTGCCGTGACCATTAGTGCACTTTTTTGTGGTTCAAATGACTGGATTTTGATGTAAATGTGTAATATAGGTTGTGTAGAAAGTTTCATTAAAAAATTTCATGATTTGGTTGGCCAAATGTTGTGTTTTCGGAAGTCAGCAAAAACTGGAAATTTTCCCGTAACTGCTCTGGCAGTGTTTTTGTTTTGGCTATAACTTTTTGGTTCGACGTCGAAATCGAGTGCCTTTTGCGGCACTAGAAAAGACATTCCCAACTTTCCACCAGTATAAAATGCACGTTCTGATTCCACTAGAGTAGTCCATACCAATCGTTTGAACATGACTGTCCCGTTTCGCATCTACACTGGAAGCTCTGTTTTGAGTAGCGAATGGATGCTCAAATATGAGCTAGCTGTGGACAGACTTTGAAAATGATTTCTTCTAAGAAATTGTAGTTTTATGAATCCAGTTTTGAACGCCACTGACCACTCTCGATTCCAAGTTGAATTGAGTGAGTTGTGGCTGAAATCCGAAACTGACTCAATGATTTGAAACCCTCTTTTTGGCTAGTAAATGTCTAAATCTTGATGGGGACTTGTTATTTCGAAATTCTTGGTGTTAATCACCTATCAAATGCATCTTGCATATTTTTTAGACATTATATGCACAAAGGGACCGTGTTTGAGACATTTTTGTTGGCCAAACATTTTGAAAACGGAAAACTCATGTATAAGACAGATTTCCCTTGGAAATTTGGAAACTTTGGTGATTTGATTAACCAACTTCCCGTACATATTTTTCTATGAAATTTTACAGAGGAATAGTCCTTATATGGTAGTATAATACTGCCAAGTTTAGTGCCATTCCGAGTCCATTTCGATGTTCAACCAAAGTCCCAAAGTCCGTGATTTAAATCTGGAAAATTGGCCTAACGGTCTCACTTTTCAGTAACTTTGAGCCGCCATATCTTGGTGTTCAAAACTCTGATTCTTGTTTCGCTTATTTTATTTTAAACTTTGATTGTAACTCTAATTGAGTTCCAAATTTTAGAGGCTAGTTCGCATTGTGTGAATTTTTCCGAATTTCCAAACCTTGTCGAAAATCAACCCAAATCTGTCTTGACTTTCCAAAACAGCAACTTGGGCCAAATTTTGAATATCTTCCAATTATAATCAAGGAAAAGTGTCTTCTAGGAACTTTTAGTACTTTGGAAGTAGTTTCTAACGGTACCAAGTTTTCCAATTTTGCACATATGAAGAGTGAGATACGATTTTTCAAATATTGAACCTCAAATCGAAAATTTTCAAACTTGACGGGAATAGAGTTTTTGAAACTCTTCCCTATCCTTCAATACTAATTGACCATTTTGGGCTTGTCTTCATAAAGGAAATCAATTTTTCCTTGTGTTAATAAACACTACTTTTGAACCTTGAATTTTGAGCAAGTAAAGCCCCATTCTATGGTATTTTCTAGATTGTACAAGTGTAAAATCCCTCTCTTGACAAGAAAGAATTTTTAAGTGATAGTGTGTAATAGATAACTATTGTTTGCTCAGGTGCTCAAGGAGACCTTCACGAGTATCTCGAGGGAAACACTTAAAGGCTTGTTTACGCACTCACTCTCTTATTTTGATTGGTGAGTGTCAAGTTGTAAGGATCGAAAACAACCTAAGAGGGGGGGTGAATTAGGTAGTTTTAAAAGCTAGCCAAAATATAAATAACTTTTTCTGAACTAGCCCTCTTTTTCTAAAGAACCAGACCAAGGAACAATTTATGATAAGGCGGAAGTAATTTAGAGCAGAAGAAATAAATAGTTAGTGTTGCAAAACTGTGAATAAGAAGATGGAATAGCAAACCAAATTTCAAACTCGACTAGAGTTTGAATATCCCTTTATATTGTAAGCTTTTTCAAGTTGATTAAACAAACAACCAATCTCTTGTGTATACGGGAAGGATCACTTCCTCCTTGCCTCAAGATACACTTGATCAAGCAAGGAAGTTTTACAATCACTCGAATAACCCTCACAGAGCTACACTATTGAAGAAATTGAATCACACTTGAAAAGCTAAAAGAAGATCACACAACTAAGAGTACAAATCTTCTTTTTGGAGTATTCTTATGCTTGAATCACTCAAGATCTGATGTAGACTTAATGTGTATCAGTGCTTTTGGTGGTTGACTTTTATCCTATTTATAATAGACCAAAAATATCTTCAATTAAAGCCACCAACGGACACAAGGCAGCTGAAGAGTTAACTAGCCGTTAGTAGTGTCGGACGTCCGGTAGGCTAGTTTTGTGCGTCCGAACGCAGGTAATGAGTTCAAGAAATTTTCTTGAAATCTTTAGGACGTCCGGCAGCATCAGAATATGCATCCAACCATATGATGTAAAACTTGGAATCCTTCATTGATTCTTTCGGACGTCCGGTGTTTCTAATGTTTGTCGTCCGAAATGTTGCAAAGATTTTTGGACGTCCGGTGCTCAGGTATTGTGCGTCTGATCGAGGTTAGAGATCTTAGAAGTGTTGACTTATCAGCTTCGGACGTCCGAGGATAGGTTCTTTGCGCGTCCAAAGATACTCAACGGTTATCGGACGACCGATAGGATGTATTTGTGCGTCCGATAGATGTTTTAGCATATGCTTGGCCTTTGAACCTGTCTTGCTCCATTTTCTGACCAAAAACAAACTTGAAAAACATTAGTTTTATCCACTTGTTTTGTAATCATCAAAAGGTACGATCAAAGATAAACAATCTCCCCCTTTTTGATGATGACAAAACAATGGATGAAGTGAAGGAATTTTGATATAGTTTCCCTTTACAACTCCCCCTCAGAATGATATCCACATCCCTTCAGTGACTCCCCCTCA